GGAACTGTTGCACATGCTTGTTGTAACATAGCTCATACGTCCACCATCCGGTAGTCTGGAAGAAAAGAACTACCAATTTAAGAGATTATCATTTTCCAAGTAAGACCAGTGTGCTGACGACTTTCATTGCAACAACTGGCATTCAGCCAGTACCCAAAATCGTTTACTGTTTATTCAACCCTTCCTCCTCCCTCCCCCACTGCCTTTCTCCCCTCCCCCGCCTCCTCCCCATCCCTCTTCTTCCCCTTCTGGGCCTCTGTTTCCTCCAGAGGTGTCACTGCTCGAGAAAAGCATGACCACGTTCAACTAGGCGTATCATTCCAACCACTCGGATCTCTAAACAGTAACAGTCGGGACATGGTGACGATAATCAAAACACCACGGACATCTCGAACCCACTGAATTTTCTATTAGCAGACTTGATGAGGTTGCAATCCCTGCAGAAGATAAAACGTACATCAGCATCACCAGCCATAGAAAAGCCCGGATCCAATGCTAAAACTAAAGCCTAAAGTAACTGTAAGCTAAAGTATCAGCGTTACAACTCTATTCCTAGTTTTTGCGTAGTTCCAGGATGGAAGAGGGCTCTCTCTCTCTCATCTCCCATCGCCTCCCGTCCCCCAATTTCCCCACCCCTGTCACTCCCCCACCCCACTCCAGCTCAGGCAACTGTCCCGGATCCGTCTATGAACTTAAGTAATCGAGCATGCCGCTCTTTCGGTCAAACGCTTTTTGTGAAGATATTCACCGAAAATAGTACTTACCCTACGTATGCAGTCCTGAACATAGAAACTCGCCGCGATAACATCCGAAACCAAATTGATTGTTAAATTCCATTTGGACGTGTTGGCCACCTCGCGCACACGAAAATGAGGTAACGAACAAAAGAATTTCTGTCCAAATTCACTCGCAACAATAAGCGATTGCCTGTCCCGCGCATCCACATCCTGCATAATTCTCCCGATCTTTAGTTTCCATTCATCTCTTTTGATATCCGATTTTCCAGCACAACAAATGCAAAAACGCTGTTTAAAAATGTTCTCTATTGGTAAATTAGTACTACTCGCTCACTAAGTCATACACAGAAATTGCTCATTTAGAAGATCA